CGAGCTCGCCGCTGTCCATCGACGATCTCTCGAATTCCCTCGTCGGACCGAAGCTTCACATATTCTCATTTGCCGAGCTCCGGACCATTACCCACAATTTCGCCGCCGCCAATTTGCTCGGAGAAGGCGGGTTCGGTCCGGTCTACAAAGGCTTCGTCGACGATAAGATCAAACCCGGTTTAGAACCTCAGCCGGTCGCCGTCAAGTTGCTCGACCTCGACGGATCTCAAGGCCATAAAGAATGGCTGGTAGGCTCTCAATATACCACGATTTGCATTTCAATCCCGTCCAATTTAAAAAATTTTAATTAAAGTCTTAAATTTATTTTTATTTGGTCCTTATAATTTTTTAAAAATTAATTTAGTCATACGATTTAATTTAGTCATATACTATTTTCAATGGAATAAAATACATATTACCTTCCATGAGGTTAAAGGCTTCTTTTCTCTTTCTGTCTTGTTGAATTTTTTTAAAAAATATACTCTAAAAACTCACTATCAATACCTAAGAAAGTTTATACCAATTAAGAGGCAAGAAAAAAGTGCGAAAGCTTTTGGAATTAAATAATTGGTGAGGTTTAACCATAAGGATCATGTTGAAAATTTTTAAATTAGAGGAATTAAATTGAAAATTTAAAACTATACAAGTCAAAATTGGAATTAAGTGGACCGAATTGGTAACTTGATTTAATGTATTATTATTATTTTATTTTGCAAACGACTACATTTTTATGAGAGGATATTGATTTTTGGTAGGCAGAGGTGATAATTCTGGGGCAAATGAGGCATCAAAATCTGGTAAAACTAATCGGTTACTGCTGGGAAAAAGAATACAGACTTTTGGTTTATGAGTATATGGCCAGAGGCAGTTTAGAGAACCAGCTCTTCAGAAGTAAGCGCCTTTTTATTTGTCTTTTTCTTTCCATATTAATTACGTCACGAAACAATTAATTAATTCTCATTAGATAATAATACTAATTAATTTGGAATAATTATTGTAGAATATTCAGCTGCGCTGCCTTGGTCAACGAGGATGAAAATTGCTTTAGAAGCAGCCAAAGGCCTTCAATTCCTCCACGAAGCCGATCCCCCCGTTATATTTAGAGATTTCAAAACCTCCAATATTCTCTTGGATTCTGTAAGCTCTCTCTTTAATTCAGCGCTTTTTATTAATTTAAAAAAAATATTCCAATTAATCAATCCACAAGTACTTATATAAATTTAATATTTTATAGATATTTTAACGAAATTTACCAATTATTTTTTCAGGATTATACTACAAAGTTGTCGGACCTTGGGCTAGCTAAAGATGGGGTGGATTGCGAAGACTTACAAGATATGTCTTGTATTATGGGGACTCAAGGTTACGCCGCTCCAGAATACGTCAAATCTGGTAAGTTAATTGAATTTCATTCATGATTTTCAGAATATGAAAAATACTTATCTCTTATCACCATTGAAAAAAGAACAATTAGTTTTTTTTTTAATTTATTTATCTTTTACATTTCTATTTGGGGATGGTCAGGACAAACTACGTCACAATATTTTTTTATAATATTTTAGGTTAAATTACTAATTTTGTTTTTGTTTTGTTAAAAAAATTACTAATTTTGTTAATAATTTTAGTGTGCGGTACCTAACGCAATTGAATATGGTAACTTTTTTTTCTCAGGACATTTGACGACGATGAGTGACGTGTACAGCTACGGCGTGGTGCTGCTGGAGCTGCTGACGGGGAAGCCGTCGATGGACCGGAAGACGGGGGAGTTTCTAGTGGACTGGGCGAGGCCGCTTCTCAAGGACTCGAGACGCCTCTTCCGAGTCATGGACCCGCGGCTCGAGGGGCTCTACTCCGCCGACGCCGCCCGCAAGGCCGCCGCCTTGGCCTACAAATGCTTGAGCCGGACCCCCAAGCGCCGCCCGCCCGTCACAGAAGTCGTTAACGCGTTGAAGTGTCTGCAGGACTTTAACGACGTCTTCACGGCGCCGTTTGTGTACGTGGTGGAGGACTGCGCCGGGGAGGAAGGGAAGAAGGGGAGAAATGAGAGGGTTATTGAAGGAAGTGGGCTTGGGCTGGGCCTTAGTTGGAAAAATTGGAGGCCCATATCTGTATGATAAGGAAAAGATTTTTAGAAAATGAATGGGATAAAATAAATCCCTATAAATTTAGTTTTTCTTTTTTTTTTTAAAGCCTTCTTCTCTACCGTGATAGGAATCATGAGGTGGTGGAAGAAGGTTTTTGAGAAATGTATGGTATACTTGTAGATAACATTGTTAGTATATACACCATGTAAGTTGTGCGTATTTGAATAGAAAATGTAATAGAGAAAATTTATATTTTTTAGTCGAGTCAATTCTAGTTAGTTTACGATTATGATCGATTTGATAGTTGGATTCAATCAATTAATAGTTAGTGTATAATATTATTTATTTGTAAATTTTGATTTTAATATATATACTTTTTTATTATTTTAACGATAAACAAATTCAAAGTCAATTTATAAAAAACAAAATAAAATAATAGATGTTTGAAATATGACACGACAAATGTGATGGAAGTTACCAACCTCTGAGAATAGGCATTTGATATCTAACTCTTGACACGTCATGTCATTGTGTATTAAATCTTTTTTTTTAGTACAACAAAGTAAGTGTRGGAAATCGAACTCGCACATTTTTTGTTGGAGATATGTGTCTAAATAGTTATGTTAAAATTGACTTAATTTTACAAAACAAGCATGTTAGATAGAAAAATGAAAATTTAAAGACATATAAAACATGTTTTAAAGTTGAATAACATATTAGTATGAGATGTTAATTTTCCTCACATCCTCTTGTCCTAAATAAGGTAAGGAATCCCAATTTAGATTCCCTTTTCTAAACAGAGTTTGGAATCACAATTTAGACTTGAACAAGGATGGAGGACGTTTTGTCTCTGTCACATAAACTGGAATGGAGAATGTGTTTTCCATCCCATTCCCGTTCCATTTGTTAGTGTATATATCTATTTTTTTTTATTTATATTGGGTAGTTTAAGAATTTTTTATAGATGAGCAAAGTCTTTAACTCTCTAGAATTAAGTATTGAACTAAAATTTTATTTTGAAAAATTATTTAGTTGAGAAATTATTTAAAAAAAATAACAATATTAAGTGGAATATGATTCCTACAAAATTTGGTGGAAAAGTTAACCGTAATAAAAAAATTAAATGAGGGCAAAGACGAGTAGAAAAGGCTTTGCATCTCTTGCCCCATCTTATGAACCCTGTAGTTGTACTTGTGAGCATAAAAACTAAATACATTTACATACTCAACACAATCTTGTAAGCCACAGAACTAAACATATTTAAATGTCTTTATTTAAATATGCGAAACGAAAAGTTTTATTTGTACGATGGGGAATCGGGACAGGGCATTGGGATGAGAGGACGGATTTGAACCGGGTCTCGAACCGCACGGGTCCGATTCGAAAACCACGTGAACCAACTCAACGGACAGGAATGAAGTGAAGGAACGGTTGCACTCTTTCCGTTTCTTGCAACGAAGCTACGATTGTCTCTGTTGGCGCGATTAGGGAACCGCATATTTATAAAACCGCAAA